CCTGCCCTCGGGATGTCCCCAGAGCCCAGTCACCGATGGGGAGGACTTCCAGAGCGTGCAGCGATGGCAGGGCTTTCTCATTCCTATGACAAGAGGGACTGTTGACGTCCCATCCGTTGGCCATGGAGCATGTGTCCCATGTGTGTGGAGAGTAGGGGAGCAGACCTTTCCTGCCCCTCCCTTCCCCTCCCTTCCTCCCCTTCCCCCCTTCTCTTCCCTCCTCCCCTCCCCTCCCTTCCCTTCCCCTCCCCTCCCTTCCCCTCCCCTCCCCTCCCCTCCCCTCCCCTCCCCTTCCCTCCCTTCCCTCCATCTTGGAAGAAACAATATAAAGAATAAGAGGAACTAATCCTGAACAGTAACCTGTGCCAACCATCCAGGAAGGCATCCTTCCAACAGAAGAAATCTGCAAAGAGGAGAGGTCACCAGGGGGCAAGGGAGAGACTTTATAAGAGCTGATCTTATCTTTTCCCTGTTGATGTCTTGAGTTACATGAGCCTCCCAGGAGTGACGCTGAGGACCCTTCTTCAGAAAGGTAATGTCTGGGCCAATCGATGTGGCTGGGTCTGCCGTGGGATCCCATTACCTGCTGACACTGGCCTGGAGGGGAGGATAGCGAGGGGCCTGGGACCTGCCAAGCCTGGCGGCGGAGGGAAGGCTCCCGGTGGCTGGGCTGCAGGCTCTCCTTTCCCTCCACCCGAGTCAGAACAGGTAGGTGCAGGCCCGAGATCAATGCCCTGGGAACAGAGGCTCAAGATTCATGGGCAAATAAATAGCCAGATTGTTGGAGCTACCATTGTTATTAGACACCAGCAAGCCCGAGGGACTGCGAGAGAGGCCCGCAGGTGACCTGCCGTGCTACCGGGGCTGGCAGGCCAGCTCCTGATGACAATTGGGACTGAGTAACGGGGAGGGGGGGGGAGTTTCAATTACACGAGCATTTCTTAAGCCTGTTGTCTGTAACCCACCTGTGCCCTTGCTAGTACAAACAGCCCTTTCAGCCAATGAGCCACCTGCTAGTAGGGGCCCTGTCCTTGACCTGTGCACGCTCTAGTGCTCTGCTACTATTCCTCTCTGTCTCTCTCTCTCTCTCTCTCTCACACACACACTCACACACACGCACACCTTCTACTTCCTGCAACCATGGGAAACGTGGCAAGAGTGACAGATACCGGGACTCCCGAAGGAACCCTCTTCCTGACACTCTGCCCTGGTTCCTGAGGGTCATTCCCTGGGCCCTGCAGTGATCAGCACACGGTCTTGCCCATGACGGGGGCCTACCAAATGCGCTGATTCTATGCAGACTGCATCCCCCTGCCCCATCCTGGGACCAGGGCAGAGATAGTCGAGCACAGTCCCCTTTGTCCCGGAGCCCAGCGGGGCCTGGCAGAAAGGGGCAGGCTGGGGCGGGGATCTGTGGGGGACCAGCATGAGCATTGCCTTCCCCCACAAGGGGAAGCCTGCACTTTCCATCATGCTCCCTTCCCAGGAAGCTGAGGTGCCCAGGTTCTGCAGCTCTCTGGTCCTCCCGACCTGCTGCACCTCCTCCGCTGGCCACAGCCTGCTCCCCTCCCTCCTGCTCAGCCCAGGTCCTCATGCACCCCTCCCACCCGGGACTGTCCCCTTGGCAGGAGAGGCCATGTCTGGCTTTGACCTGAATGTAAGAACTAGGGGGAAAAGGCCCACTGGGAAGAAAGGGAAGGAGCATGAGAGAACGTTCTGGATGAAAGAATGTGTATCTCGATGGGGTGTAGATTCCCTGGTGTTTGCACCAAAGGGGGGAAAGGAGGAAGAACTCATGGACATGGACAACAGTGTGGTGATGGGGGCTGGAGGGAGGCAGAAGAGGGGGTGGAGGAGACAAATGGTGATGGAAAAAACTAAAATAAAGGGAAAAATGTAAAAAAACAACTTTTCAAATTACACACTTAGCTGTACATCAGTCACACTCTATAAATGTAAGAGTTACATCCTGATTACAAGCAGCTTGAGGATCCAGGGCTGAGGGTCACGGTGGGCAGGTGCCTTGGCCCAGGGGTGCTTGAGCTGAATCTTGCCCGGGGAGTCGGGCTTTACCAGCTACATCAGCTCAGCCCCAGCACCAGGGTCGTCACCTTGGCCTTTTATAACATCCTCCCTTACCTAACTCGACCCTCACGCCACCCCTGTGAGCCCGTCTGGTGCGCCCTCTTCATAAACAGAATGCCAAGGGCTGACCCTCAGTCACAGTCCAGCCCCCTTGCTTGTGGATCCCATACCTGTGAATTTGCCTACTTGCTAAAATTGCTCAGAATCCCCAGGTCGACACTGCAGCTTTTTCAAGGTCACTTCCGAACACGAGCAGACGTCCCCAGCAGAGGCCCGACCAGGCCACAGGACGGCGCCCTCCTGTCTCGGTACAAATAAGTGTCCTCTTTGTGGCCTGTTTAGTGGCACATTTGCACAGTTTCGTGCTTTTTCGTGGTGATTCCGCTGTTTAAAACGGCCCCCACATATCTGAATGCTGCCAGCGATCCTAAGTGCAAGGAGGCTGTGATGTGTCTTAGGGAGAAAAGACACGCGTCAGACACGCTTCCGTCAGGCGCAGATTCTAGAGCTGTTGGCTCTGAGTCCAAGGTGAATGAAACAGCACCTATTAAATGAGGTGTGTGTAAACAGAAACGCACCGAAAAGATGGTTCTGTATGGATGGGCTGACATAATGTCGTGACCAGAGGCTCGGGGAACCTAGCTCTGCATCTAGGAGCTCAGGAATTTGGTGTTCAAGATGACTTTGTGGAATACCACGAATCATGGGCATCGACTACTCTTGTCCAAAGCCCCAAAGAATGTCTGCAGAGAGGGAGAAGTACATTGCACTGACTTCATGATGTCGCCTCTCCCTCCGGTGTCCCTCGCGGCGCGCACACGCCTGCTCCCACTGTGGCATTTGGGCCGGGGGGCCGTTGGCCACCCAGCGCTGAGTGACAGGCAGCGAGGAAGCGCAGCCTTCTGAGTGCCTGGGCTGGGCTGACATGACACATGTGGACGAGACATGCACACTTCACATAGACAGGACGCAGGTATTATGTTACTAAAGGGGAAACTGAGGCCATGCAGGAAGTCGTTGCTGGTACCTCCTCCTTTCATTCCTGTTTAAAGTCAGGTCTGGGGATGGGAGGATGGAGACGGCAGGCTCTCTGGTGCTTCTCAGAGCCTGAGGCCCCTGCACCTCCCGGGGCTCAGTGCTGTGTGAAGCGGGCCGGCACCAACGGGCAGGATCAAAGCTCACACAGAGGCCTGCTTTGGGGTCCCAGAGGCACAGAGTGTCAGAGAGGGGCCAGCTCTTCCGATTGCCCTTGAATGACGCCAGGGGTGAGAGCCCATGCCAGGAGCCGCCGAGCCATCCTCAGGCAAGCAGAAAGCCAGCTGGCCTACGGTCCCCAGGGACGCAACGGGTCTGGAGCCTGGTCCCTTTCTCAGAGGCCTCACTTCTGCCTTGCAAAGTAGCTCTTGGATGGATCGGAGCTGATCCGAGTTCTGAATGCAATGTCTCCGTCCTCTGTGATGCCGGCCGCTCCTCCCTGTTCCATGTACCCCCCCAGCACCGGTTTCTGATCGGCTCTGAGTTACGTGTCTTTCAGTGCACGTCAACGGGTCACGATGTTTTCCCACCATGGCATACCGGAGGGATTTCAGACCTTCTCTTAAAGAACTCAAGGACTCATTATGCCTGAGGCTGTCACCCAGAGGGGACAGTGTGCTGTGCCCTTGGAGAGGACAAACGAGAATTCAGGAGGGCGTGTCTAACTTTCAGAGGTCATCCTGGGTGGGGGTGGGGCAAGATCCGCCATGATATTCCTACAGTTGGAAATGACTGTGACGAATGAAGTAGGAAGACTAAAGTCCTTTTCCTTATTGTATAACACTTTCATGTCCACCTCACAGAGCATCCAGGTTTAACTGTGGTTCCAGCGGCATCAGCCTGGCTGGGACCTCCCTGCATCAGCATGGGGGCCAACTGCTGCTGGTTTCTCCAGTCACGAGGCCAAGGGTCTGTGGATCCCATGAGGAAGGCCTTCAACTCTCCCCTCACGGCTGGGTTGGTTGTCTGTACCCTGCATCCCCTACTCAGTTCAATTCCCGGGTTCCCGTTTGTCTCCATTTAGAGAATAAAATGGAACCAGCACAGAGATGCACGTAGGCGGAGTGACCAGCACTTGGGGTCAGGCTTCACTGGTCCAGTGACCCCAGGCCCAGGATGCTCTGATGGCCGAATGAGTGTTATGACATCAGAGGGAGGGTCCTCAGGTGCTACACACTTGCACTGTACCGGAGAGCATCAAACACCAGAAGACTCTGGGGTGGAGCTTTCGAAGACTCTGCTACGTGGATGCTGACTCCCTAAATGGACAGTGTGGATCTAGCACCCGACGGAGGGGCCCATGTGAGCCTTGAGTAAAACGCCCAGTGCCTTTTTCCTGCTGTTTAGTCCTGGAACGTCAGCCTACGGTCAAGTCACAGTCAGAAATGCCTGGAACTGTCCGGCCAGTGTGGCTCAGTGGTTGAGCGTCGACCCATGCACCAAGAGGTCACCAGTTCGATTCCCGGTCAAGGCACATGGCCAGGTTGTGGGCCCGATCCCCAGTGGGGAGGTGGCCAGTTGATGTTCTCTCTCATCGATGTATCTATTTCTCTCTCCCCCTTCCTATCTCTCTAAAATCAATAAAGGAAAAAAAAAATTTTTGAAAAGATATGCCAGGAACCTTCCTGCAGTGTGTTATTGTCCGGCGGGAGTCCGTATCCTGACCCACCATCATTCCCACACTGCCACGTCTACGTATCTTATGGGATTCGGCAATTAAAAGTGGAATCAGAACAAAAGCCGGGAGGTGAACTTGCAAATGATACAAGGAAGGAAGAGTAAGCGAACTCGGGGAGAAGAGAGAGCCGGAGGAAGGAGAGGCGCTAGAGAAGGAATGGGGAGGAGGAGAGTCACTGGGGGACGCTGCCGGCGGTACTCACGTGTTATGCAGCACACACCAGCCGCAGTGGGGATCACCCGAGCCCAGGCACTCACTGCAGCTCCCATACTGGCCACAGGACTCCACAGGGACTCTGGTGAGCTGGGACGAGACAACAAGCGAGAGAGTGGTCAAGATTTTGCAGAACACTCTGTAAGAGACTGCATTCTATCAGGTGTGTTACCCAAAACAGTGCAGCAGCAGGACGGGATCCAGAGCCCCAGAACCAAGAGGGACCCTGAGTGATCATATTTGAGCAGTGGCCACATACGCGCCCGAGGGGACACCCTCCTGTTGTCTTCTCAGAAATCTCTGGGAATCGACTCCACAGAGGTCACATTAAATTATTATAAAAGATACTTATATGGTCTACATTCACATTTCCTCAGCACCAAAACCCCAAAACATCTCTACAAACACCCCATTCATCACATACTCGTTTCTTGTCAATGTAATACACCCAGTGTTTACCCTTTGTCCATTTTTGTTTCTCTTTGGCCACAACGTTCAAGTTTTTGCCTTCTTCTAGGTCCTTCTCTGTCATCATGTTTGTGGTTCCAGGGGGCTTTCACCCCAAGGCCTTCACTTTCTCTTTCTCCGTGCCTTTGAACAAGGTGCGATTCTCCCTTGGTCACTGTCACCTGCCAGCTCTTTCTTTCTCATTCTGTCCACCGACTGGCTCTGGAGTTTCCTCTCAGGTGCCTTCGAAGAGCAGCTCTTGCGATTGCTCCTCTCCCCATACCTCTTCAGGTCAGAGGTCTCCTCTCCAACCCCGAACCGTGCATTCGCTTTCACCAGCCACCTGGTACTGTCACGTGATCCCCGCGCCGAGGCTGCTTGGCCCAGACGCTCCGTGTCCAGCGTGCTCCTGAGCAGGTGTCCTTCCTTTGTTCTCCAGGACAGCCTGGCCCGGCGTCTTTGACGCCACGTCAGGGACCCGACACACAGAAGGCACTTAATACCACCGAACCACAGGGTCAAATGCAATTTTATTCTTTCAAAATAGCCTTGGCCTTTATTCTCCATTTTGTCAGTTTCTTCTTCACAAAACTTAAAATAAGAATAAAGCATGCTTTTCCGTTTGGGATACGTTTTGAGCGCCATGGAGGATTTCTCACCTAATCTTTCGGGCTGAGCTAAGAGAATTTGATGTGGTCATCTTTTTAAATTTCACGCCACCTGACAACAAGCACCGAGAAGTAAAAACCGCACGGACCTGACGGAACCTCTACGCGGCCTAAGTAAACGCCGAAGCTGCGTTTGCCCTGTTGATTCACAGGGGCACCTGCTTGGCAAAACCATGTGCCGCTTGGCAGGGGCTCCTCGAAACTCATGCACAGGCCAACTGGATCCAGAGTGTGCTCAGTCGCCAAACTCCCTTTCGGAATTAATGAATAATTAATTCTAAATCCCGCTGATGGCTCTTTCCTTTCCCCCTTAGCTTTCCTATCCCCTTTACATAGCTTTTGTTTGGGTTTGTTTTCTCAAGAACACATTGAGCATTCTTAATGACCACACTGGCTTTTCACTTCTTCTAAGTCACCTTCTAGCTTCCTGTTCCCATTCTTACAGCTTTGCCCTTGGCCTTGGGGGCCCTTTCTCCACGTTCTCAGATGTCTTTCTGCACATTTGGAATTTCATCTTTGCTTTTATTACCACGTATGTCATCAGCATGAGCCATGCCTCGGCTCTACCTACATGCAACCTTTCCACGTTTGCAATTAATCCCGACGATCGGTTTCTTACAAATTATCCCACTGACCCTACACCCAGCCAGGAACTCACCCTCTTCCTGCTGTCTCCTTAATTTCTTCCCATACATCTTAAATGGGCACAGACGTGCTGGCCACAGGAGCATCTAAATAATGGTTCCCAGCCCAAAGTACCTGCACTCGTAGGAATTTAGGAATTCAGGAGTGGTAATGAGGTCCGCAAGCTATTTTCAATATTTCCAAAACCCTAATGTAAATCGAATTGTTGCTGTTTTCTGTTTGTATGCATACCCAGTGATGTATGTCTCATATTAAGAATAGGAAATATATTATTACTTAATAAATGCACTCTGTTTAGGAGGCAAAAAAATCTTTCAAAACATGATGCCTGGAGGGGAAAAAGTAATAAAAGGGGCCATAGATGGTGAAAGTTGGTAACATAAGTACATAATAATGTTTTCACATGTTCCAGCTGCTTGCCTAACACTCCATATTTTGCCTGATCTTAAAGAGAAAATCATGACTTGTGCAATCAAAAGCATTTTCTTGGTCTAAACTTAATTAATATCCTCGCCGGTTTCTCCCACGGACACGTTCTCAGATTTGCCGTGGACTGACGTGCCATGGGGTGCCAGGGTGCGCGGCACAAAGAGCCAGCTGCTTGGTCAAGCCCACATACTCAAAAGCCCTTGCATTCCGATTTCTAAAAATATCCTGCAACTGGTGTTTAATACTGTCAGTATCTGAAATTGTCAAGTCCTTTCTCTCTTGATTTTAAACAAGAGCCACTTCCGTTTGGTTGGAAGGAGCGTGCAGGCCCGCAGAGCTAGGCTCAGATTCTGGCTTCGCCCGTGGCTGGCATTGAGAGCCCATTGTCTCCGAGTCTGTTTTTCTCATCTTTAAACATGGAGCCCAAATCCCCGCCCCGACAATTCATGGAGTTTTCCAAAACACAGATGGCCCAAGAGGTATGAAGCTTTGTACTTGATCACGCACGTTACAAGTGATTATGATTGTTATCTTTGTCATTAATACCCATTCTGCATTATCACCTGGTCACTTGACCTCTCTCCCATATCACAGAAGACTGCTCTGACATCTCCCTATAGGCCTCAGAAATTCTGGAACAAGTTTTCTTCTTTTCTTTTCTTTATTTATTTATTATCCTCATCCGAGGACATTTTTCCATTTTTTGTTCAGATAGAGTGGGAGGGAAAGAGAGGAGGAGAGAGAGAGAGAAACATCAACGGGAAGGGGACACATCGAGTGGCTGTCACCCACACGACCCAACCAGGGCCGGGGACAAACTGCAACCGAGGTACATGTCCTTAGCGGGAGCCGAACCCGGTTCTCTCTGGACCGCAGGCCGACGCTCTAACCGTTGAGCCAAACCGGCCAGGGCAGTTTTCTTCTTTTATATCTTGAACACATCAGTTCCGCCTTGGACTGTGGCGTCTGCTCCTAAGTTGTTCACTGCTTCGTCTTTGGGATGAAGCCCTGGGGTCATCCCAGCTCCGGGGCTGACTCGGTGCTCTCGCCAGCTGCCGTCCCAGCCGTGTCTTCCTCCGCTCCCCTCTAGGCGGGTCCCTGGGGGCAGGGACGTAGTCCTGGGCAGTTTGTCTGAGACTTAACCTTCTTTAACCTTTACTTTTAGGATCTTTCTACCTATGTTTTCAGAAAAAATGTATTGCTCTGCTGAACTTTATCTAGGTTTTCTTCCTTCGTTTTGAAGCCTGGATGCTAACACGAGGGGAGCCAGCAGGGTTCTGAGACCAGGTGGAAAGGTGAGCATCCGTCACTTGACAGCTGGGCGCCAGCCCCTCGCCTTCCTGGGACTTCCCCCGAGAGGCCTGGGCCCAGGGAAACCTCCGAAGTCACACTGCCAGGCAGTGTCCTCCGACACGGCCAAGCTCTCCCGGACTGACCCCCATGTACACGGCTGCATTCTCGTTGTTCACCCCATGAGAAATTCTGGAAACCATCAGAAAATGTCCTGACACTTTAAACCACTTTCGAAAAACAGATTTGGTCCAACATGTATCTTGGTGCAATTCTGTACCCCACCGGCCCTGGCTACCTTCACGCATTGCTAGCCAGCTCCGCAGGTGGTCGGGACGCTTCTGAGCCACCTGGGCAGGATGATGCTCTCCCTGCATACCCAGATTCTCTGCCCACACCACACACCACACACCACACACCACACAAAGCCGCCTCTCCCTTCCCCCTCCCTGGCTCCTCTCCTGACCCTGGAACACAAACCACTCCAGATGCAGAGACACACGATTAATTAAAACCACCCCACGCTGATTAAAGTCTTAAGCTACAGTGCCAGGCATGCTAATTAACTGAGTGAAGGAATTTAGACCACAGGAAGAGGTAAAAAAAGAAAGTCATGGGGGGTGGGGCGTGCTTCTGCCTGGAGAACAAATCAGATGGCCACGCAACCTGAGCTCTTTTGGTGATGGATGGTCTCAGAGACCATAAAAGATTGGGGTGTGTCCCCTGGCTGTGGACTCTGGGAGAGAGATTGATTCATGTGGCTGCAGCAGATCCTTCACTGCTTCCGAGACAGCAGGCTCATCACCTCTCAGACTCCATGTGCCTACTCGGCGCTGGGGGAGAGGGAGCTCCTTGGCTGGAGGGCTTAGGACGCATCCCCACGGACTCATCTTGACACCCTACTGGCTTGGTGCAAGAAGGTATTAGGTAGTACGGCACATCCTCAAAAAATTAAACACAGAATCAACATATGATCTAGTAAGTCCACCTCGGGGTGCACACCCCAGAGGGCTGGAAGCAGGGACTTGAACAGATGCCTGCACACCGGTGTTCCCAGTGGCAGGACCCAAGCAGCCATGAGGGAGAAGCAACCCAGTGTCCACTGGCACATGAATGGGCAAGCACGGCGTGTGTATTCCAACACACTGGAATATTATTCATCCTTAAAAAGGAAGAAAATTCTGCCCTGGCCGGTTTGGCTCAGCGACAGAGCGTCGGCCTGTGGACCAATGAGTCTGGGGTTCGATCCCGGCCAAGGGCACGTACTTCAGTTACGGTTGGTCCCCGGCCCTGGTCAGGTTGTGCGGGAGGCAGCCAGTCGACGTGTCCCTCTTGTGTCAAGGTTTCTCTCTCTTTCTCTTTCTCTCCCTTTCTCCCCCTCCCACTCTGTCTGAAGATAAATGGAAAAATACCTGCAGGTGAGGATTAAAAAAAATAAATTAAAAAAAAAAAGAGGAGGAAAATTCTGACACAAATTCTGACACCTGCTACACCATGGATAAACCCTGAGGACATGAGGCGGAGTGAACTAAGTCAGTTACAAAAAGACAAACATTGTATGATTGCACTCATACAAGGTACTAGAGTGGAGGAATTCATAAAGACGGAGAG